ATTCTATTCATTAAGAGAATGCAACTATATATCTATCCCAACCACTTTGAATACACAGATACAAAATGGACATTCATAGTTATATCCAAATTTTTTTAAGTTCTGCTGTTGAATATTACAGGTGTGTAAACTCAGCAAAATATTCCAAAAGAGTCCAGTAGCCCATAATAGCATTGGGTCCTATTTTCATCTTTTTAAATCAGAGTCAAAAACATTGATTTTTTTTTTTTTTAATGGACCTATGGATCCTCAGAGGTAAACTCTCCTAGGCCTCTGGATAGTTGTCAGATAACTTTTGGGTAATTTGCATATTTTTCTAGTTGGTCAAACTAATGACCAACTAAATTCAGAGTGTAATCCACTCTTTAGTGAGAGCACAGAGGAAACCACTTATGTGCAGAAACTTCTAAAGTCTGGGAGGTTGGGCTTAGGAGACAGCTCAGCAGTCTAAGCACCTGCCTGGCAAGAGCAAGGACCCAAGTTTGATTCCCAGTATCGCATGCCATGCTGGTCCAGTGCTGAGCCAGTCACCACAACTGGGCATGGTGATGCATGCCTGTAATCCCAGCATGGGGAAGGCTGAGACAGGAGGATCACTACGAGTCCAAACTGCATAGTGAGACCTTAAACCGAAAGAATAAAAAAATCAAAATAAAATAAAAAAATAAAGACTGGGATCTGGTTAACCTACTGAACACAACAAACAGTGGTAAAACATTAGATACACTTAAGGACACAACCAGGTAGACAAACTGAGATAACTTGTTAGTGAGGTCCAGAAAACAGTTGGATTTTCCCTCCCAATTACACTGAAATTAAGCAATGCAACTACATAAACAGTAAGGGACAAATGTTTGTGACATGTTAACATTTCCCCACTGTCTTTCTATGTAAAATATGGTAGAACTCATTAGTATTCTAACATGTACAAAGTGGACACCTGTTGTATAAACTCAACATCAACAAATGGTATAACATGAATAACTTAATTCTAAATGAATCCAAAAAGAAAAGATTTTTTAAGTTATAGAATTCATTCGCTAAAAATATCTTAGAAATTTCAGATTTTATCTATACAGCTTCAAGTACATAAATAAAAGTGATATAAAGTCCCTTCCTTTTGAGTAGTAAAATTAGTCATTGTTTAGTTTTTATACTTTCATATAGTTTCAAATATTCTAAAATAGACATATTACTTTTAATTGGGCAAAAGATAATTCCAAGTGGATAAAAAAGGAACAGCTGTGGCTTGGTGACCAGGAAAACATTCCCAGTATTTGAAACAATTTGGCATGGGCTCGGAGGCAAGAGACAGAAATCTGACTAAATTCACAGGGCTTGCCAGATGGTGACAAGCAGCCGCCAATGTTCGATTGTGCTATAATTATTATAACTATCTGTCACTTCTGCCAGTTATCTTTTTACTAGACAAGTGGTGACAGGATGCTGTATGAAGCCGACCCGTCATTTGTTGGGCTTATGCTGAAATGAAGTAATGGAATGGAACATCTTTTAGTAATGCCTCTGGGATGCAAGGGGGTGTGGGAAAGGTTTGATTATGAGTACAATTACGGAGATATTTTTGTTTATTGCGTTCTGGGAATGCATTATTTTGAATGACCCTAATTGGGAATTTGGAGAGGAGATTTGTTCTATTGCCTATGAAGTCAGGAGTTGCTCAGAGGAATGCTGTTTCTGGGGTCATGGTTTAAAATGCATCATTGATCTATTTTCACATTCAGTTAATCACTCGAGAGGCACCATTTATCCCTAATTGAGTAGAAATTCATCTTAAAGTCTGAGTTTAGCTTGTGGCTATATTTGAGAATTGCATAATTTTAGTTTTTTCCAGTAAATCCTACATACCTACATTTGCTCTATAGCTCACTTTTGTACTAATTTTGACCACTTCTCTTAACTCCAAATCTATCCAGATCACTGAGTTTTTCTGTCTAAGTTTCCTACTGTCAGTTTACTGACTGAGATATGCAGACCATAACTCCCTCAGCTGTTTTGGATGAAACTGTAGATGAATGTGTAAACGTGTGGCTTAGCTGGAAAGTTATGCATAGCAGGTGACTGGGCGGATAGCTTTCACTGCTTGGCCTGAAGTCGGCTTTGAAGGGGTGCCTATGGAATTCTGGCGCGTGTGGGTGTGGGCTGTGGGTGTGCTTGCGTGTGGGAGCAAGGCAGAGCGAGCTCTTCACATTTCAAGTAGCTCAAGATATGAGTGGTAAAACAAATCAGGTTTTTGTACCTACATATGCTGAATAGAGAGAGCAGGCAAGTGCAGCATTGATTTGTTAAAATTCGTCTTGGTTCTTGATGTTTTAAAGACACTTTGGAAATACTCATAAAGATAAAAGATAAATTTAAAATCCACATCAACTGCAATTGAAGTCAACTAGAAACAGAAGGTTTTTAAGTCCTGGGGGGTTAATACAAATTAGCAGACAAAGGAACAATATCTTAGTCAACTGTTATCTTGTCCCCTGCACACAAATAGCCTTGAATCTTTGGTGGTTATTCTTTGAGATGTTTCGTCAGTGACATCACAGTGATTGTCACTTCCCTAGGACTACTTTAGGCACTGCCCAGAGCCCAGGAGTGCAGACAGCCTATGAGACAGCAGGCATTGGAACCTCAGCTGGAGAAAGCCTATTGCAGTCAAGGTATGTCCTTGACCTTCAGGTAACCCAGGATTTTATGTTCAGCATAAAGCATGTATGTGTGTGTCTATGTACATGTTGGGGATGAGAGAGGGATGCTTATATTACATGATGAAATAGATAATTACCATTTTACATGGCTTTTCTTAAGTTGAAGAGCAAATCTTGTTGATTCCCATTTCTCTTTGGTATGTGTTTTTATTATTATTTTTACATCTTTTTCATAAAGTAGAGGAAAGATTAATTCACATTTTCTTGAAGTTTCTAATGAGAGAAGGCCAAAGGCAAACCACTAGTACAACTGAGTCATAGATTTTTGGTTTTCAGTTCATTCACATGGCAATTTCCTTAGATAGTATGGTGAGATCCTAGGGAAGGCTTTAAAATACAGCCAAAGCTGAATAATGGAACATCGCTGACCTGACTTTCTGTATCGCTTTGGATAATTTTTTGTAAATGGTATAAATGTATGTGTAAGTAAAGATCACAACTTTCCATTAGCATATTTGCAATTGAATTGGGTTCACTGGTAATTCTCACCTTCTTTATGCTTAATCATTTATTTTTTCCTACATTATCTTTTTTATTATAATTTTCACTTGCTTTAATCATTTAAAAATATAGAAAACAACAAATACTTAAGGTTGCCATAAAGGGCAAAAATTAGTAAAAAAATGTGGTGGCTAGCTTGTTAATTCAAGAGGACTGAAAAAATGTGAAGAGTACACAAAACACATGTACTTAAGTGATCATTCTAAAATGACACATGTATAACTGTCACTCATCAGGACCCAGGTTCTCAGCACCACCCCGGAAGATCATTGTTTCTCTATTCTGACTTCTGTCCCAAAAGGTTGGGATAATCTTGCCCTTCTCTTTAAGGAACGTACTCCTAGACAATATGGAGTACATTCCTTACAATATGGAATTAAAAGCAATACATTCTTTGCTTTTAACTCTCTAGAAATGGAGTCATATTGTGTTTCTCTTGCAAACTCTTGTGCTCATCAATTGTATTTGTGAGAGCTGCTCATTTGTTGTGTGTAACTATAATAGTTTATATATTTTCTTTGTTCTATAGCATTCAAATGCATACATACCCCACAGTTTTTATCTACACTGCTGTCTATAAACATTTAAGCTATTGCCAGCTTGGGGTCCTTTTGAAAATACTGCTGTGAACATCCTTGTTTGTGTCTACCAGGGCATGTGTACTTGAACATTGAGGGTAGCACTATGTTGACATTTTTAGATATTGAGGGTAGCACTATGTTGACATTTTTAGATATTGAGGGTAGCACTATGTTGACATTTTTAGATGTTAGGAAGAGCATTTCCCACCTTAATAAAAAATGCAAAGTGTCGTCCGTGGTAGTTGAAAATGACTTTGTCTCACTGACTTTGTTTAGCCAGGCCGGTTAATTGCTACCCTAACTTACTCTTAGAACGCTTCCATGGCATATTAGAGCACCACAATGCTGGTGATTAGTTCTAGTCTGCCAGTTTTAGCTCTGTCTCTGACTTCCTAGATCCTACTACACAATCAACCTCTCAAAAAGTCAGTTTCTCAATTGTGGTATATGGAAAGGAAAAAATCATAATACTTGCTTGAATTATGAAAGTAATGGAACAGCTTCCAGCAGCATTTTTATTTTCCATATGTATTTCCATTGAACATATATATTTCATGATTATACACACACACACACACACACACACACACACACACACGCCATGATTCTCTTTATGTAGGAGCCTGATCTAGGTACCAGATTTGATGGGTTTTTTGCCTTCCTGAATTGGGCTACTTTAAAATCATTATCAAGGGGGATTCATAGTTTCTGCACGTCTCTGCATTTCTTGAGAACTTACCAAAGAAGGTTGATTTCAAGTTCATCAGGAGGCAACTGTCTTTGATGCTTGAAGCTATTCCTTTCCTCTGTGTACTTTCCCCTCCAAGTAAATGTGTGTATTTTCATTGGTCATATATTATTTTCTTCATACTGAAGGCCAAAGGACAGGTAAGAATGAAAGGGAGGGCTGGAGAGATGGCTCAGTGGTCTAAAGCACCTACTTGGAACAAGCTTGGCAAAGCATCAGGGACTGCGGTTCGATCCCCCAGCACCACATGCCAGCCAGCCCCGCCCCCTGGTGGGCTGAGCTGGCCACACACACACACCACACTCTCTCTCTCTCTCTCTCTCTCTCTCTCCCTCTCTCTCAAATAAATAATAATAAAAAAAAAGAATGAAAGGGAAAATGAAACAGAAACTGGTAATTTTGGGCTGCATTTTAATCCTTTATTTATTTACTTATTTGATGCAGGGTCTCACTTCAAAGCTCAGACTCATAGTGATCTTCCTGTCTCAGCCTCCTCAGTGCTGGGATTATACGCATGTGCCACCACTCCTGGTTTCAGTGGCCAGCATGGCTCTGGGGCCTGCACAGCATATGGTGCTGGGGATCAAACTCAGGTCCTTGTGCTTGCCAGACAGGCACTTAGATAGCTGAGTTATCTCTTCAGCCATTGGCTGTATTTTAAAGAAAGATGCAACAGTCTACTGATTGGCATTATCTGGTTTGAACCTGTATGTTATACCAGCAATTACATAACATTATAGCCAATTACTCAGATTCAATGTGGGCAATTAATAATTTGGTCTACTGATAATATGGTAAATACAGTGCTTGTAATTAATTTTAGATCCCAGAAAATATCATTTATGCCAAGAACTTGTTAACAAATACTTCTGCCTCTTGAATTTCCACCCTTAGAAACATTGCAGAGTTTTCTTAAATGTCTAAGCTATAAATGTCTCCCTAAAATTTTCTAAAACACAGAAGTTTAAAAATCCACATTGCATAGCCAGAGTGTCAATTATGCTGTATCACTCAAAGTCATCATTTGATTGACTGCATTGCATATGTTCTTGAAGCATGATTGCCCGCACGTACAATCTGTACACACTCTGAAGATATCATCCTTGCTCTTTGAAATGTTTATAATCTACGCACATCCTGCACCTGACTAAAAATAGCTGGCACAGGCCTTTGTTGAGCTAGAAATACCCATGAGGTTAACACTTGCCCTTTGGACTGAGAACCTGTAGTGTGAGGGACTTCTGGTTGACCCCGGTCGGCTCTGTTCCCAGTGCAGTCTTGTAGGAAGCCATGCAGCTGTTGAACTCCTTTGTGCAGGGTTAGAAGAAGTCCTGCAGCAGCCTGAGCCTGGGGGTTTATTGTGTCCACTTCTTTTTTTTTTTTTGGTGGAACCAGGGATTGAACTCATGCCCTTGCGCTTGCCAGGGAAGCGCTTATTCCACTGAGCCATCTCCCCGGCCCCTGTGTCCACTTCTAAATGTAGTTCAAAGCAAGAATAATATTAAATTGCTTTTTTTTTTTTTGCTTTGGTGCCCTTACTTCCTGATACTCTGTTAGCAAAGTGAACACATGCACAGAAGTTGGAGAGAGAAAAACGTGGTACTTTATCTGTTACCAAAAACTTTGATGTAGTAATTATGTGAAAAAATAGGGCAAAAATGTTGATCTTTATCACATCAAATGGAGAAGCTAGCCTCTGTGTTCATCAGAGCTCTTCAGGAAAACAATATTGTGTGTGTGTGTGTGTGTGTGTGTACACGTAATTTTAAAGAAATTGGCTCAAGTGGCAAGTCCAAAATCTTTAGGATCCATGGGGCTGGGGAGATGGCTCAGTGGGATAAGTGCTTCCTTGGCAAGTGCAAGGGCCTGAGTTCAATCCCCGGTTCAAAAAAAAAAAAAAAAATCTTTAGGATCCAAAGACGGTCTGGAAGCTAATGTTGAAGACCAGGGTGTCAGAAGGTTTGGTGTCCTTTTTTTCAGTCTGGTCTCAAACTCACAACAAACCTTCTGCCTCAGCCTCCTGAGTGCTTGGACGATAGGCATGCACCACCACCATTTGATGTCTTTTAAGGTCTTTTTCCCTTTTTTGAGATGGCCATAATCTCCTTGTGTTTTCATGTTGTCATTCATGGGTATATCCTAATCTTCTCTTCTTCTGAAGTCACCAGTCACTTTAGATTAGGGCCCACTGTAGAGACCTTATTTTATCTCAATTATTTCTTTAAAGATCCTACTTTTAAATACAATTTCATTCTTAGGTCCTGCCAGTTAGGACTTCAGCATGTGCTGAATAGAGCCCACACAGTTCTGCCTGATCAGTCTCCTTGTTCCTTACACTTATGTTTGTTTTGAAGAACGAATGAGCATTGTCTGACCAGAATGCTCACTAATCTCCCTGTATTTTCTTTGCCACTTTCTCCTAGGCAGTGAGGATAACCTGGAAGTCTTTGGTCGCCCTCAGAAGTCTGCCCAAAGCTCTTGCCCAGCCCCTCTGATGATGGAGCGATCCACCCGGGAGCTATTTCTCAACTTCACCGTTGTCCTGATTACAGTTCTCCTCATCTGGCTCCTTGTGCGGTCCTACCAGTACTAGAGGCCATGCCACACCCCTGGGGTGGACTGAGATGCTCTGGAGCTGTCTGCTGCGCGGCCTGAGCTTGCACTCGGGTCGCTGTCATGGGATGCTGCTCTTGGCATGCCCAGGCGCCTCTGCCCTGCACTCACAGGGCCTGCTGTGCCCCAGCATGAGGGCTGAGTGTGTGTTCTCCAAAGATGCTGCTCTTACTGGCTGCCAAGTGTCTTCCAGTGAGCATTAGATCTGTTCCCCAACTCTTACTGCAAATGTGCCAGACAAGCCACAAGGTTAAAATTAAACTGGATTCGTGATGATGTGGAATGATAACAAGTCCCTGACTTGTCTCCTCACACCTCCCGCCAACCCACACTGTCTGTAACCAAACTCTAATTCAACTGTCAGAAAAAATGTTAGAGGAAGTCTTTGTCAGACTCTCTAGCTGTCATGTGAATAAAACTAAGTCAACCATGGAAACAGCTTTTAGCATTTATTTTAGTTTCTAGGTGTGATGCAGCCTTTGACCGTTGGCTGGGACTGAAGTGGCAAATGCGACAGTATTTCTAGCATTTGGGATAAGCCAAGTTACTCCAACTGGTGAGGATTTGAAATGAAGTTAAGTAAAAGGGTCACATTTCAATGAATCTCAGTGGGTCATTGCTCCTCAACCTTTCCCCTTATCTAGTCCCACGGGCAGAGGGAGTAAATCCATTCATTAGACAATCTGGGCCAGGCCCTAAAGTAGCCACTAAATGCTTGAAATTCTAAGAGCACTGATATAGCTAAAGAGAAAAGGACAATATTATATTTTGAGGTTCCCAATAAGAGCTGGGAAACAACTTCAAGTAGTGCTTAGCGTCTTGTCCTTGATTCTGGAGTTAGACCCCACGTGTGGATCTGCAATTGCTAACAATTTCAGTGCCACACACCACTCAGAGGTACATGGCTCTTGGGTCCTTGGTTCATGGTTAGTTGGCCTTCTTTTTCTTGATGAAAACCTCAGAGAATGTACTGATACACATTGTGTGTGCATATATTGGAGCAGGTGTATGTTTGTAAAAGGAAAAGGTAAGAGGAGGGACATGAGATTCTCCTCAAACATTGGCCCATCAGATCTCTCCCTGAAGGCTGAGGCTAGAACCCACATTTACAGCAGGTACCATCTCCTGTGTGTTGTTTGTGAGCTCTATCCACATCTCATGCCACTTAGCATAAATGTGAACTGAGAGGGAAACACTTCCCTTGCCAGATATAAGCGGGTCAGCGACGATGACAGCAGTATCATCTTAACCATTATTCAGGACTGCTTTACTATTGATCGATAGAAACCATCTGATTATGTTGTAAATTTTATCCTCATATTCTTTAGGATTATAAAATATCTGCCTACTTAAAAAAGGGGAGCAATTGTCATTCTCTATATAATTTATCTTTGGTTTTCAATGTGTACCTCCTTCCTTTCCTGATCTGTGACTGGATCTATTGACAGGATTCATTTTCAGGCCACATCGTGGGCCATCATGTGGGGATAGTGCATTCATTAGCAACTTCAATTGTGAGACTAGGAATTATTTCTAATGTCTTCCACAGTCAGGGGTCTCAGTCATTTTGGCTAAATCTCTGCCTGAGTCACAGGTCTCCTCTTGTGCGTAACCTTCCCTGGTACCACCTGGCCATCTTTATCAATAGCAGCCAGACCACTTCTTCCCTCTCCATCTTACCTATCGAGTAGCTTTCTGTTGGGTGAGATCCTTATTATTTTTCCCCCAGTTTGTGGGTTGAATTGCTCACAAGGATTAGCTTCCCTTGGCTGGGGTGAATCATCTGACACTGCAACTTGAAGTGGCTTATTTTGGGCTCACAGTTTCAGAGGTCTCAGCCCACAGGCAACAACCCCAGTGCAGAAACTTAATGGCAGAAGGATGTGCGGGAGCAAAGCTGCTTGTGTCATGGCAACCTGGCAGCAGCTTAGGAGGAGGGGTGCCGGTGAGTGCTACCCCCTCCAAGAGCACAGGCTCTGAGGCCTTCCTCCAACGGGGCTCCACTTTTCACCAAGTATTGAGCTACAAACATTGAACATTGGTGGGTTAGCCCGCTGGTTAGTAAAGCACCTCAAGATCCCATCACCTCTGCTGCAGTGTCTAATCCGGTCGATCTGACAATTAAGTTCAACTGCTGCATGTTACAATGAAGCCAAACATTTGAGGGTGTTTTGTGTTTTTTGGTTTTTCTTTTTTTTTTTTAGGATCTTGCTGACTTAGGCTTTCCTTTCATTGTTCTCTAAGACTCATAATGCCTTGGACAGCCTTTACAGCACCCACTTTTCCAACTATTCTCTCACACTGAAATAATTACATAGAGGACATGGTGGTGAACACCTATTATTCCAGCACTTGGGAGGCTGAAGCAGGAGGAGTTGAGGCAGCCTGGGCTACACAGTGAATTCAAATCAGCCTGAACTACACAGCAAATCCTGTTTCAAAAAATTTACACAGGCTTTTTATCCAGTTCTGTGAGACTCAACACCATATGTGGCCCCCAATTCCCCCCAAACTATAATATTGTTGTTGTCTTCAAAGAGCATAAAAATGATTCAGATAATTCATGACTGAGAAAAGAGGCTTGAAGTGCTTCAGCACAGTCAGCTTCACGAGCTACATTTCTTTTTTTGCTCCATTGGCTCAGACAAGGAGTGAGAAATGGTAAGAAAAAGGTAGTGTTTCCATTGTGTTCTCCAATCTAATTTGGGGCTTTAAGTGTAGATGGAACCTCAAGGTGACAGCCATTTAGTTTTATTTGTACATGTTTCCATCTATTAGTATATGGGGAGTTGGTAGCTGTGCATAATACATCTTAATTCTTTTCATCTCATCCCTGCTCTTTCCAATTCTTTTTTATTTATTTTATTTTATTTTCAAAGTTTTATTGATAAACAGATAGCAATGAGACAGTTTCAAGTCAAATCGGAAGTACAGTTTCAACAAATAATACACTGCATATATTCTTCTTAGTGGTTAATTGCTGTACAAGATGTGGACTTGTGATCCTATTTA